AATGAAGCAAGTTTTGAGATCGTAGAATGAAACATGAAAGCTATATCATGTTTCCTAGTTGTACATAAAGTCTTGAGTGGGAATGTGAGACTTAAAGATGTACAGAGGGGGGCACTCCAGGAAGAGAAAATAAATTCACGAGTCCACCATGGATGATTTACATTCAATATGTGACCTTCAATGAGTTTTCAAGTTGTTCATCCTTGTTTTCTTCCAAGCTTTTATTGAGAAAATAGGTCCTTAATTTTCTCCCGTTTTCTGTTTTTTCTCAATAGTTGGGGGCACATTAAGGCTTCAGAAAGGGTGATGAGATTGCAGGATGGAGTAGTACTTGTTGGTGTCTGTACCGAGTCTATACTACTTGTGATTTACCCTTTCTATTGCGTTGATGTATAGGGGCAATGGTACAATTAATTTAAAATAAGTTTTGGAGGAGTATTATTTGAGATAATTCACCCTGTCCATACCTTGCCGACTATAACTTGTTTGGGACCAGTAGCTTACAAAGAGTTTTTCGTAAGCGGTGTCGACATTAAAGAGATGAAATAAAATATTACAATAATGACAGCATATTTCAGAAAGCTAAATTCAAGTTGCATTACAAATTAATGTACAAATTCAGATGAATCTTAGTTGATCTTCATCAGATCCCACCCAAATCTTTTTTGATAAATGTTTTCTAGAAATTCCAATTGGAAAGAAAAAAAATGAAAAAACAAACAAAGCTACAGTTGAAAGAGCAGCACGCACCATGTTAATTCGCCAAAAATTAGAAAGCAACTATAATCTCCAAATACTACAAATTGTAAAGTGAACCTTTTTTCAATTCTTTCTCGGTATGCAAGAATCCGCCTCTTTCATCTCAGGCTAGAGAAGTTGAAAGAAAGTCTAGGAAGCCAATTTGAAGATAAAGTGAATCTCAAATAAATGAGTAATTTTTCAAACTTTTAGGATTTTAAGTTCCTGTTTGGCTATAGATTTTGCAGATAAGATTTTCACTTCTTTTTTTTTGAAAAGATTGTTTGTTCATGTATCTGGTCATTTTGAAAAATTTATCTTCAAAGAAAGTTCAAGTTCCAAAAATTAGGCCAATTTTTTTGGGTGAAATTTCACTTTCACTCGTGAAACTTTAGCTTTTTTTCCAAGCTAAGTGTATATCCAAGCACAATTCCAACTGATTTTTTTTTCAAGTTTCACCTAAAATTTTTGGCTAAATACTAGGTAAGTTGCTTGAGTAATTCAATGCCACAACATTATATAAGTATTTATTGGCTTGCAAGTCGAGTTGCACTTAAATATAATATTAGCAGTACTTTAAGTTCAATGAAGTTGGCTCAGTTGTATTGTTTCTCCCTTTTAAGCATGATGTTTGAGGGTTCAAGCCTTGTTGGCTTCTCCATTTTTCATAACAAGACTTTCAAAAAGTATGTTGCTGAGTGGGGTTGAACGCATAACCTTGAGGAAAATATTGAATGTCCATACTGGTGAGCTATTGAAGCAATTATGCTAGCAAAGTCATCTCTTTAGTATTTGATCCATACTTGTTGTAGGCTGTAGCATTGTAATATTGTATTATACATTATATAAAACAATAAATTCCCGACGAAGCGGTATCGGATAACACCCCTTGGATACCCATGCCTCCACCCCTGTTTGGGTCTGAGACTTAGTTGTTGTTTATTTGGAGTAGTAGAGTATCTTAATTTTGTACTCTTGTTATATCAGTTCACGGAATTGGCCATCCAGATCCAACCATGACTATAGAGATGGTATAGTTAGACCTGAAAAGTATTTCTGGAAAATATAGACATGATAATGAGGAATACATGGGAACGTTGGTGATCATTGTGATTTAAAATGATCAGATTTGCTTATGAGGTGTTTAAGTCTATAGTTTCATATGATTTGGTTCTGTTACTGAGATTCAAAATCGTGAAAGATAATGAATTTGTTAGTTCGATCTATTTCTTTGTTAGTGCAAGATTTAATTTGATTTCCCAGGTTTAGTAATCATGCATAAACACTTGGGTCTTTAAAATTTATGTTCTTTTAATTATCATTAACACTTGATCTTTAGAATTTATGTTCTTTCTTCTTATCCCAGACTTCAAGGCCGGAGTATAATGAGATCTTGGTGAAGAAGCCAGATTGGTGGCCTTACTAGAGTGTACCTGCAGGGTGTTTTCTTTGTCTAGTGGAAGAGTATGAGTTGCTCTGTACATTTATTTCTTAGTGTTTATCCAGATCTGTGTGCATCTTTTCTAAAAAGTGTACGTCTGGATCTGGTTTTGAGATTTCTTATTCTTCCCTTTTCTTTTCCTTAATGTGAGTCAGATGTTGAAATCAGGATTTATGGGTAAGTTGTATTGTGTCATACTGGAATTCCATCAAATGCATATTGCATCTGATCATACGTGTATTACATGGGAAAAATTACTCGAGCGATCAAATATATTTACTCAAAATAGTGTGAGTTTAAAATATATATACATGTATATACACACACAGCCAGAGTTTGAGTTTTATCCATTTCAGAGTTGTGTTTATTCACTCTGATATAGAGAACATATACAAAGCAAATTGATACGCTGTATTGTAAGTTTTTTTCTAAGTAAGCATTTGGCCATGCGATATCATATCACAATATGGTATTGTGAGATGGAATCAGCCTTTGGACATGCGATTTTACGCTGATTTCATCTCATGATTCCATATCATCATATGTGATTCTAATTCTTCAAAAATTATGATACGGAATCATACGGGAATACCATATCATGATTTTGAGATATTTTGATATAAAAATTTATCCACAAGTTTATATTTCGTTAAAAACAATCGGACATTTATATCTATCAACTATTTATTTCGCATGTAAATAAAATTTATAATCACATCATTATTATTCTCACGGACATAAAATTTATTTTTCTCACCAACTTACAGTCACTTTAACTCACACTTTACGATTGTTGAGTAATAAAATCTTGAAGAGCCCGTAAAATGTGGTATATTTTTACTCAAATATATTGATAGGAAGTGAAAGTTAGGTTGAAACAATTACTTTAGTGGAGAACAAATATCTTTGTAATAATTAGAAATTCTGGAATTTTTATGTTTATGAAAAAACATACAACACCAAAATTTCATATCGCATGTCCAAACAAAACTTCAATTTCATCTCATGATTTCATATCATGATACCATATCGCATGGCCAAACAGGCATAACTTATTGTTACATTTGATAATGAATCAAATTATTACTATGATTGATAATTACTCAAACGATCACTATAATTGATAATTAGGGCTTAAAGTACCGTTATTTCTCAAATTTTATGTCTCTTGGATGTCTGACATCTAGAGGTGCAAGATGTATCACTACCAATAATGCCTGTATTAAGCCTATAATAGATAAAATGCTTAATTCTAGGCAGAGAAAAGACAAAATTACCACTAAAAATGTTTTAGATTTTCAAAAAAACACTTTAATTTTGCAACTATTTTATTACCCTACAAAAACTTCTAATATCTTTGTGAAAGGATAATTTTGACTCATTCTCTAACCTGGGTTATGAACATTAGGGGTGGGCGTTCAGTTCATCGATTCGGTTTAGTCAAATTTTGGTTCGATTTTTCGGTATTCGATTTTAGAAAAGTATGAATCATAGTTTATATCAAACTAGATCGGTTCGGTTCGATTTTTTCTACTTCGATTTGGTGTTGTTCGATATTTTTTAATCGTTTTTTTGGTGTGGATAAAAATAAAGAGGGAATAAAATAAAGTGTAAATAGTTTCATCATGTGTTAGATAAAAATAAGATAGTTGAATGGCTGCCAATTGCCATATTGCTAACTACTAAGAAGTAAAAACAATCTACCAAAGTGTTAATAGTTTCATCCTCTGCAATACTCATCCCACGACCCACGTTCCATACACTCCTAATTGCACTCCTAAATTCTAATCCTCTGCAATTTCACGTTCCATACATCCTCTGCAATGCTCATCCCAATTGCCATATTTCCATACAATTATATAAAGGTTCACCTCCAGACATATGATTAACTACTCATTCAAATTTCAATCTTTTAAACTCATCTCCATACATCCCCACACCTCTGCAATACTTTTAAGCTCATCTCCATCCCCCACACCTTTCACTTTCTTCTTTCATTTCTCTTTTCTTTCCAACAACCCTCAAACTCGATAAGTAAAAAGGAAAGATAAATTCACTTTCAAGTTCCAACAAAAATAAATACAACACCATAAAAAATCTGAGGCTGAGCTCAAGTTTCAACAAAAATAAAAATACAAATCAATGCAACACCCAAAAAAAATACAAATGTTTCAAAAACATCAGTCAGTAAGTCACAACTTGAGCACCACAAAATAATACAAATGTTTCAAAAATATGAGTCAGTAAGTCATAGCTTAAGTCTTACGACACCACAAAACAGTAAACAGTAAATAGAGTCACAAGTCACAGCACCCTTCTTTGGTGTCTTGAACGACCACACAATGTTTTCAAAATCAAAACATGAGCTTTAGGAGATTATATGGTTGAACCTAATAAAATAAATAAATCAAAAGGCAGAAACTTAGTTAGAAGTCAGAATATTTCAAGATACAAAAAAATATTTTATATCAAACAAATTAAGTTATAAAACTCACCATTAATAACAAAAGAGCATCTTGTTATCATACGTCAACAATGCAACAATCCTCTCCACTGTTTGTCATTTCTAAAGATAATTTAAACAAATGTCAAGCAACATAAATAAGTAGATTTGTTTTACAACATACTAGCAATATGAAAACTCACCAAGTTCAAGTTTCTTAAGATTCTCCAAGTTTTCTTCCACACAAATAGAATTAGGCTCTTTTTTAAGCCAATCTTGACCACAAACAAGAGATTGCACACATTTAGGAGTCAAAGAACTTCTGAATCGATCAACAATATGCCCACTGGTACGAAATGCACATTATGTTGCCAAACTTTAAATTGGAATAGCCAATACATCACGAGCTAACTCTGAAAGAATAGGAAATCTTGGAGCATTAACTTCCCACCAACTTAAGACATCAAAATTATAATGTTCAGGCTCTTGATCTTCTTTAAGGTATCTCTCTAACTCCGACTTAGAAGCCCCGCTTCCACTATTTTCCTTTTGTTTCTTCATGTAAAACTTAGTTCTCAAAGCTTTTGTTCTCGAATTTTGAGAACAAGAGCTAGATGAATCAGATAAATTCGATAAAGTAGATCTAGATGGAGATGATTGATGTTGATATTCTTTTGAATATTTTCTTAAATAATTTTCAAACAAAGTTTCCATATAAGCCTTCACTTGTGTATCTACTTTCTTTCCCATTTCCTCCCTAAATAGTTCTCCAAGTCCAAAACTAACATACATAAATTTATTTCGAAGATCTAACACAAAAGCAATATAAATCATCGAGTTCATCTTATCAGGAGTGCCCCAATATTTCTTGAACTTCATCATCATCCCATGAGCCATATTTCTCAAATTACGATCTTCACTTGTAAGACATTGTTTCAAGTATACATAGAGCTCACATACATCCTCAAAATGAACACTAGATGTAACATACTGTGAACCTGAAACCTTTATTGTAAGTTCATAAAAATTTTCAACAAATTTTACTACACTTCTCACATTTGCCCAATCATCACATGCAAGTAATCCAACAACACTTCCATCCTCACAAATATGAGTAGATAGATAAGTTTTAAAATGTTCATCAAAAAGATCAAATCTGTCAAAGGCCTTTTCAAAGTTTTGTGCCTTTTCCAACAACAAGTAGGTAGAATTTCACCTAGTAGGCACATCTAGCGACAATGTTTTACTACAATATATCTTTTGAAATTCACAACATTTCACAAAGTTTCTTGTTCTTACCGGAGAAGATCTAACATACCTCACCATTTGCCTAACCCATTTGACAGAAATATTAATTTCCTTCAAACCTTCTTGCACGATTAAGTTAAGTATGTGAGCCATACATCTCACATGAAGATGCTTGCTCTCCATTATGTTCGTTCCCCACATATCTAATTGCTTAGATAATTCTGTCATCATAACACTATTTGAAGAAGCATTGTCAACAGTAACAGAAAACACGTTATCCAAGTTCTAATCAAGCAAGCAATTACCAATAGCATCTGCCATGTGTTCACCCTTATGACTAGATATGGGGCAAAAATTTAGTATTCTCGTATGCAACACCCAATTTCTGTCAATGAAATGAGCAGTCAAAACACATGTAATTTTTTTTTTCATCGAGGTCCATGTGTCAGTGTTGAGGCAAATCTCTGGTTGTATTTCTCTAAAAAAAACTTCTTCAGATTGTATCTTAGTTCACTATAAAGTGCATAACAATCCCTTGTTATTGTTCTACCAGAAGGAATTCTAAAGAGAGGTTGAGCTTGACTCATAAACTTCTTAAAACCTTCTCTTTCTACAAAACCAAAGGGTAGTTCATCAATAATTATCATTTCAACTAAAGCCTTCCTAACTACATCTTGTTCAAATTTCCAAAGCGGTGCACGTGAATCAGTAGAGTGAGAAATTTATCTTTGATTGAGAAGTAGTTTCGATAGTAGACTTATAAATTGAGCACCTTGCTAAGTGTTGGTTCAATGCAGTTGTACCATTAGGGAAAGTATAGATATGAAATTAGTGACAATACCTGCAAGTTGCTCCATTTATGTTATTCTCAACAACCTTATTAAAATGATTTTATACTTTCGATCTTGGTGCTATTTCTTTTCTTTTCTTTTCTTTTTAAGTTAGGTGCCAACACTGCCACTGCCATCGTTATGCAAGTCATTAGTTGAACCAACAACAACAAATTTATTTTCAATTTCATTCCCCATCTGCAAAAAAAAAAACTAAAGTGGTAAGCAAAAAAAAGATTCAGCCGAGAGTCGACAACAATGGTTCGAGAAATACATACCATTTTTTGATGTCGGCGGACAACGATGGTATGAGCCTCTGAAGAAGAGACGATGAGAAGACGAGAAGGCGGTCGGCGGCTCAGAGTCGGCGCTCTCAGACGAGAAGATAGAAGGTGGTCAACGATGCTCTCGGTTGAAACATGAAGACAATGAGAAATATGAAGAAAGCTTTAAGACGACGAGAAACGGAGAAAGATGAAGAAAGGAAAAAGCTTGAAGAGTGAAGACTAAAGATGGCTCAAAACTCAAAAGTTTAATTTGGGGCTTAGGGTTTACATTTTAGCATTTTAATTGGTAGTGTCTTAGTGATTTGAAATTTTAGTAAAAATTAGTTATATGTTGAGTGTAGTGTATATTCAATTCATTATTTAATTTTTAAAATGAAAATATTTTTAGTGAAATTTAAAAATATATAATATAGGTAATATAAATTATTTTTTTTAAATTTATTAAATAAAACTTTGGTTCTTCGGTGCATCGAAGAATCATCACTGAACTCTGAACTGAAGAATCGAAGTTCCAAAAAAAACCGACACCGAACCGAAAGATCGAAGAACCGACACCAAAAAAACAAAATTTTTCTGTTCGGTTTGGTTTTTCGATATTTTTGCCCACCCCAAATGAACATGTACAAGAGACGCATGGAGAAGTGTTTATAGTGTGAATAACCAATTTAAAAGTGACATGCGTTGCTGTTTTTCTTTATAAATTATTCCCAATTTATGACATGTTTTAGGAGAATGTATGCAAGTTCTTTAGATGAATCGTGAACATGTTGATATAAGATCCAAGTACGTTATTTCGAAGTTGACAAATAAAATTTATGGAGTTGAAAAATGGACGAACCTTAGGTAGGATCATGGTCCATGGAATAGGTCCGTCGATCTTGGTCCACAAACCAATTCTATGAACCAAACGATGAAGGAACGGGTTGGACCGTAGGTGGGACCACGGTCCATGTACCAGGTCCATCGATTTTGGTCCACATACCCATTCTCAAAACCAAACGACAGATAGGACCTACGGACCGTAGATAGATACACGTTCCATGGACCAGGCCGTCGATCTTGGTCGACAAACGAATACCAGGACCAATAGACCGCAGGTAGGACCATGGTCCATGGACCAGGTCCGTCAATCAGTTCGATAACAGTTGAATCGGGGGTCTTTCTGTCTTTTGCTATATCATTTAACCCCTAAGTTGTCGTTTAGGCCCTAAATATGAGGTTTTAGTAAGTTTAACCGTAGAAATATAACTAAAACTTACCTAAGTCGTAATCAAAACATAGAAAATTAAAAGCAAGAGAGGAGAAAAGGTCAAGAACCCTAGTTCAAGAACGCAACAAGGTTCCATCAGTTCCAGCCCTAAAATCTAAATATTTCTCCATGGAATTCATCACGAGGTATGTGGGATTTCACTAGTGGGTTCCTTTCACCCATTGGGTCCCTATATATTAGTCAGATTCTTGATTCCCTTATCATGATTAGACCTAGGGTTTCTAGAACTTCAACAGATTATCATGAATTAGTTAGTTATATGTTTCAAATCAGATTATCATATTATTACTCAATTTATTGCATTAATTTCATAATCTTAACTATGTGTTTCTTTAGTTCTTGAATTACACATGCTAGGTCAGATATTTCAATTACTTCAAATATACATGCCTTAACTATTAATGCATCATTATCCAATTAATTGTTGCATTCTTACTTGCACATTTAGTTTGAGCTACCAGTATTTACAGAAACTTGGTCATAATCAGTTAACCACTAAATTCATTGAGATTAGCAGGATACCGAGTTGGAATAGGGTTCAGCGTACCCAAATAGTCCCAAAACTACTAGCCAAGTAGGTTGGAAGTCCCCTCTGTGGGCGTCAGTTTAGTGATCACTCTAGCATGCATTTATACCTTTGGCAATGTATATTGGATCCTCTCAATGGGGCGTATACATCGGACTCCACATTTAGATCATGTGATTTTATTATCGGTTATTAGAAGCTCCTATAGTTCAGTCAGATTCTATTGCATTGATCATTTATCTGTATATCTAGTATTCAGTTTCAGCATGTTATAAGTTGGTCACTGCATTCAGTTATCTCAGTTTTCAGTATATCATGTTCAGATTATATCATTGCTTTATTGCTTGTTTAGTTATGTATTATTTCAGCTTTACTCTATCATGTATGCTCAGTACCTTTCGAGTACTGATACATACGTGCACTACATTTTCTCCTAATGTAGGTTCAGATTCTCAGCATCCAAATCACGCTTAGTATTTCAAATCAGTTAGAGGCTATTTTCAGACATAGTTAGTTTCAGCTTAGTATTGAGTTAATATTTTATTTGTATTAGTTTCACCAGTTTTCATATATATATATATATATATATATATATATATATATATCAATTATAGTATATGGGTATTCCCCCTCTTTTCATTTTAATTATGATTTGGCTTCCGCACAGTTGATTATCTTTAATATGCTCATGATCATGCCAACAAGGTTAGCTTGGGATCACTTGTGGTCCTAGGTCCTGTGTCTGTGTCTCAAGGGTAGCTCGGGGCATGACAAACTTTTTATCAGAGCACTAGGTTTAAGTGTACTAAGATGTCTGAAAAGCCGCACTAAGTTGATCTTTTTAATGGATGTGAAGTGCACCACATCTAATGAGAGAGAAGCTATGAAGGGTTATAGAAAAACTTCACTATCTTGTTACTCTTATTGTGCGTAAGGTATGATCTAATTCCATTCTAACTCAATGTTCTACGTTTCAGATCATGCCTCTTTGTAGATCTAACACCAGGAGTGCGAATGTTAGGAATGCAAACACAGTCCCTCTAGTCCCATATCAGGAAGTCTCCAATGTTGAATTCACGAATGTTATTCAGATGTTGGCTCAGGTGTCGCTAACATGAACAATTAGCGGGTTCAAGATCATGTAAATTCAAATGGTGGATCAACAACAGCTAGGGTCCGTGACTTTGTTAGGATAAATACGACTGAGTTCTTTGGATCGCAGACTAGTGAGGATCCCCAGAATTTCATAGATGAGATCAAGAAGATCTTTGAGGTGATGCAGGTCAATGGGAATGATCGGGTTGAGTTGGCATCATACTAGTTGAAAGATGTTGCTCATATCTGGTACGCTCAGTGGAAGGAAAATAGGGGTATAGATGCAGCTTATATTACTTGGGATTTCTTTAGTAAGACCTTTTTGGATAGATTTTTTCCCAATAGAGTTGAGATAAGTAAAGGCCCAAGAATTCATGAACTTAAGGCAAGGTAACATGACTGTAAAAGAGTGTGGGCTCAAGTTTAACCAACTCTCCATGTAAGCTCCACACATGGTTTCTGACTCGAGTGCTTAGATGAATAAGTTCTTGTATGAAGTGTCAAGATTTGGTGAAAACAGAGTATAGAAATTCTATGTTGCTAGGAGATATGAATATCTCTAGGCTCATGACTCATGCTCATCAGGTTGAGGGTGATAAGCTTAGGGAACAAGCCAAAGAGAATAAGAAGTCTAGGATTGGGAACTGTGACTATTATCAACAGAAATCGGGTGGTGGAAATCGCTCGCAGAGTCAAAAAAAGTTTTCATCCCCAGCCCCTTCGTTAGCTAGTGTTCCATCCTCCAAGAATAGGTATGATTAGAAGGTTAGGGCACTAGGATCTAAGTCTTAGGGAAGTGTTTCAGGCATCATGACTTACCTCACTTGTCCTAAGTATGGTAAGAACCATCCAGGCGAGTGTCTCACAGGAAAGAAAGGACGTTTTGGATATGATCATTCTGGTTAGAGGTTGAGCGATTGTCCTTCTAGACAAGGTCAAGGAGTTAGTAATGGTAGATCTTACTCTACAACTTCAACAACACCAGCAAGTGTTCCGACTCAGTAGGGTAAATCATCTGGTACAACTCTTCAAGCTCGCTAGGATCAGGATGGTTCTCCTGATGTAGTCATAGTACGTTACGAGTCTTTGACCTTTATGGTTATGCATTTTTAGATCCAGGGTCCACTCTATCCTTTGTAACTCCTTACATAGCAGTCCAATTCAGATTTAATCCAGAAACCCTCTCAGAACCTTTCTTAGTCTTTACTCCATTTGGTGACCCAATTATAAGTAGATGGGTATACAAAAATTTCTCTATCAAAGTCTCTCAAAAAGTCTCCTCAGAGTTAGAAATAGCATACTTCGATGTCATT